AACACATCTGAAGTCTCACCACCATTGCTATATCAGCAGACAGACGGATCCCTACGGCACGCTTCCCAACCGACTGAAGACTACGAGATCGCAGCGCTTCAGCAGCAGTCGGAAGATCCTGAAGGCAGGCCTCTGCAACCGTTTGTAGAATGTTGTGCGACTTTCAGGGAACAAAGATTGGAACGAGACTTCCAAGGAATCATCGCGGACGACGAGCGCGATGCATGGCAAAAAGAGCCAGAATCCAAAATCGCGGGATTGCGACTTGAAGGAACGAGACTCTGGTACCACGACAAGGCCTACGTCAGGCTTGGTGACCAAAAGGAGCTCATTCGAAAGATCCACGAGTCGAGACTCGGAGGACACATGGGAATTGGCAAGACAATTGCGAAAGTCAAGCAGAACTACGACTTCCCAGGAATCAAGCAGACGGCAGAAGGGGTCCTGGCGGAATGCGACCTCTGCAAACGAAGCAAACCAGGACGACACAAGCCGTACGGGCTATTGCAGCCACTGCCAGTCGCAGAACGACCATGGAGTTCGGTGACGATGGACTTCATCACCAAACTGCCAGTCTCCAAGGACTCGGTAACGGGAGTGGAATACGACAGCATCCTCACAATGGTGGACAGACTCACCAAGTGGAGCTACTTCCTCCCTTACAAGGAAACATGGTCGGCAGAACAACTCGCAGATGTGATCTACCGCAACATCACCTCGGTCCACGGATGGCCGGAGGAGTGGATCACGGACAGAGACACGAAGTTCGCATCAAAGTTTTGGCAAGCTCTGATGGCGAAACTGGGTACGAAGAGTAAGCTTTCAACTGCTTACCACCCACAGACAGACGGACAGACGGAACGACTCAACCAGATCGTTGAACAATACCTACGGTTGTACGTCAACTTCCAGCAGGATGATTGGGTCGAGCTGTTGCCAACGGCACAACTCGCCTACAACACCACCGTCACGGAGACCACGAAGGTCACACCATTCTTCGCGAATTTCGGCTACGAAGCAGATTTGCGACAAGGGCCCGAGGTTTCGGTGCCCAGAGCGGCAGTCAAAGCCGACAAAATGAGCTCGCTGCACGCGATGCTCAAGGAAGAACTCGAATTCGTACGAACACGGATGAAGAAGTTCTACGACAGAAACAGGCTCGAGGGACCTCGCCTAGAGGAGGGGGGCAAAGTCTACCTCATTTCTCGAAATCTTCGCACGAAGCGACCAAGCAGGAAGCTCGACTTTCGCAAAGTCGGACCGTTCAAGATCGACAAAAAGATTTCGGAGAACAATTACGCTCTCGCGTTACCCTCGACAATGCGACTACGGACCAACGTTTTCCACATCTCACTTCTGGAACCAGCGCCCAAGGGCGCACGACTCGACAAAGACGCCGAGGCAGAAGATGAAGAGGAGGAATGGGACGTTGAGGAAGTCCTAGACTCACGCATCACGAAAGGACAGTTGGAGTATTTGGTCAAGTGGCTGGACTTTGGTCCAGAAGACAATTCATGGCAACCAGCTACAAATCTCAACTGCCCCGAGAAACTTCAGGAGTTCCACCAGAGGAACCCGGATCGACCAAGGGAAATTCCGCGGAAAAATCGATTCCAGCAAGGGGATTCCCCAGGGACCAGTCGAACCCCGCGGAGGGGTCGGCGGAGGAATTAAGATCGCCCTCAACCAAAGGCGCCCCCGCCGCATCAAGAGACTCTTGTCTCTCGGCCGCTTCAAGGTCATCCAGAGTTGACAAACCACGAGCCACCATATCAACACCACGGTCCACCAGGAATTTCTTCTGTTGACGCAGGCGACGCAAACGGGCCAGGTGTTCCGCAAGAGCTCGCTGGTCTTCCTCCAATTTCCGCTGAGTCGCCTCGAGGGACTCCTCGGTGTCCCGCTCCTCGCGCTCGATCCGCCGCTGCTCCTGCATAATACGATCCACTGGGGACGTTGGAGTGAGCCAGGGACGTGACGGGTAGGGGGAGACTCACGTTGGGAGATGGGGACACCAGAGCCATCGCACGATCGACCGCGTTGAACGCACGCACTACAGCGTTTTACTTTCGGAAGCATGCGGCACGTCAAGCTCTGGGAAGCGCACCAAGAACAAGGCATGACGACAAAACCGTTCTTTCCGATGTTTTCGGCCAGGGAAGCACGATAACGCGCAGATTTGGATCGACGTTTCTCCACGGACATGTTGTCAGCATCAAGAACTGAGGGAAGAGGATGGAAAGGAGAAGTTACCAATAAGTGGGGGAAGCGCCGTAGTTAGGGATCATTAACCAACGTTAGGAATGGAGAACCAACGTCTTTCGGGTCGAAAGACATGAGAGGGGGGGCATCGTGTCACGGAACGACCTGAGGGGCGGCCCGGGGCGGCCACAGCCGAAGGCGCAGGACGCCGACAGCCAATCGCTAAAAGAACCAATAGGAACGGTTATCACCGACTGTCAGTGATAATGAAAGATTATCACCAGTTGTCAGTGACAACGGAGGATTATCACCATGAGGACGGTGATACTAGATAGTATATAGTCACTCGTTCTGGAGAGCTCTGGGAGTTCTCCAGTTAGCAATCACAACTACAGTTCGCTACAAGCTCGAGAGCCTACTGTTGAGACAAGTCTTTGTTGTGCACCCTTTGGCTGCACCGAACCTACGCACCCTTGAGAGAATACCTTCGACCGATACTGAACCCTAACAGGACGGGTCCAGAGACAGGTTCGTCACACTAGGTAGGAAGAAATTAAAGTATTAGATTACTACTATAGTAGCGATAGTTTAGTAATAGTAGCTGTTAGTAGAGGTAGGTAAGTTAGGTTATAGGTACCCTAGACCGGCCTAGTAGAGGGGGCACCCAGGCTAGAATTGTTACTATTATTATTAATGTTAATATAGAACGTTAACATTAACTAATAGCATATACTATATAGGATCCTCCTAGAGATAAATAACAGCTAGCTACTACTTTGTTCAGCGGCTTATTATTATTATTTATCTACCTTATTATATTATTTCTTATAGAGGAAGATAGATAGGTTATCATTTATAGTCTTCCCATTCTAGATCGCTACTATCTATATAATAAGGTCTTGATTTATAAGTAGGATATACTTATTATTACTTTAATTATACTAGTACTAAGTAGCTGCTATACTGTTTCGAAAGTTCTTATACTTTAAACCGAGATTACATTTCTATCGGTAATAAAGTATATCAAATATAATAGATAAACGTAAAACCTTATCGATATAGCTCTAGATAATATCGCTTTAGTAGTATATAAACAACTTAGCTAGTATTATATTACTAGTAGATTTATATACCGAAGGTACCTTTAGGGTATTTCGATTAGGTATTAACACTATAAATATAGCTCTAGGTAGCTATATACCTATACACCCGGATCGGAACCCGGAGGTTCGGGAGATAGGTTAAACTAGTATTGGAAAGCCCTAGATCGGTGTAGGTATAGAGGTAATAACTAGATCGTTGTTATTGGATAGTACCTCGAGCTCGAATTCGAACTCTAAAGTTAGCTCAAACTTAATACCTCCAGCCTCTATCATCTAGCTCATAAACAAGTCAAAGTTAATATAGCTAATAGATAAAGGTAACCGAGGTACTACATTAAACATTACAATATCCCTATACTTATATAGACTAGCTATTTTACCGAAGTAAACTTTATAAACAATATAGGTAACTAAGCCTTCTAATCCAGCCTTCTATACTAGGAGCTATATATCTTCTATTAAATTAATATAACTAGGCTAAGTAATATATTTGAGATTAAATCTGTTAAATAGTTTAGTAGATTCGAAGTCTATTACTTTAACTCTAATTACTTATCGATATAAATATTGTAAAGGTACTAGTAGGAGGGTCTTAAAGGTTAAAAGATATTAGTTATAGAACCATTTAATATTATATTAAATCTTAACGACAATCGATATTAGAAGAGGTAGGGGGGAGGGGGTTTATTCGTTTAGTTTAATAGCTATTTAGATATTACTCTAGCTATCGGCTAAGGTAGGTTAACCGGTTTTAACTATATACTAGTAAAGATAACTTTGTTATTATTATTGTTATTATCGAAAGGATCGTTAAATATATTTCTAAGCCCAGACTATAATTCTAAAATTATAGTTAAACCTTAGATAATAATCTAAGGTTAACTTTATTATACCTATACCGGTAAATACAGCTCTTCAATATTATATTCCAACTCTAGTATTTTAGATAATATCTCGGTTAACTTTCGAATAATAATTTAAGGGGCTTTCTTTGTAGGTACAGCCTTCTTTATAGGGGGGGGTCTCTTTATAGCCTTCTTTATAGGTATAGCCTTCCTTATAGTAGAGGGCCTCTTTACAGCTAGCTTTGTAGGTAACACTTTCTCTATCAATACCTATATCTGTTTCAGCTGTACGTTTATAGGTTATAAATCGGTTAAGTCGATAGATTTGGATATAGTTAAAGGGAGGGTATTAACAGTCTTCTTTAATATAATTCGAGTTATCTTATATACTAGGATAGCGGTTAACTTACTACCTACCTCAATACCAGAAGATACTAGATCTATAGCATTACCAACTATATTAGCCTAGGTATATTTTAAATACTTTATAGTAGATATCTTAAACTAAATAATATAATAAAGTAGATAATAAAGTTATAAGATAGTTCTAAAGGGCTAGCTAGGCCGTTTAAGGATAGATTTTAAGGGTATATATATAGACCCACTAATTTCTATCTAAAAAAACAGATATAATAATAAAACAATCAAGATCAATCGCCACAGCAATGTAAATTACTTCAATTACAGCCGTTATAGGCGTTTAATAGCGCCGTCTACGGATTCTTACCGCCTGGGTACGCACCCGCAAAAATTAGCGGCGGTGTGCTATATGCGCGTGTACGCCAAGACGAACTAGCGTTTGCCGGACACAGCAGGATCGCCCGCCCCGCAAACTTTAACTTCACATCTCCAGTATCAAGGTTGCTAACAATGCGGGGAGTCTATGACTGTCCATCTTGCCTGGTTTTGGCCCGCAGGGTGGGCCGCCGTAGATGCTGCGTTTGCCGGGCCGTCGGGGACGTGTCGGTTCTGAATCCGAGAAACTCGGCGAGTGTGGGAGAAGATGCTACATGGACGCTACCTCATTACTGGACTTGGCGCAGTTTTGATTAAAGCGATCGTCACAGGCAGGTGGCCAATATCCCACCCGTCTTCACCACTCCGGATTTCAGAATATGCCGTCTCATTCTGGTATCTAGCGTCTCATCGGGTCCCGCGCCAGAGCGGGAAACCTGGGGGCGGTCAAGGATATAAGAAGGCTACATTCGCTACCGGCTTCTGGGACAACTTCTTTGCGTCCGCACCCGAACTCACTACGCTATTTATCCCTGAGTCATCATCTTTTAATAGATTCTTTGATCAGCACGACCTGTGTTCAACATGAAGTCCTCTGTCATTCAGACGGTTGTGGCGGCCGCCTCCGTGGCGTCAGCTCACACTATCATGCAGGCTGTGAACGGCCTGGAGATGGGCAAGGGAATCTATATGCCGGACAATGACAACACGGTATGATTCCCCCCCCTTCCCCATGCTGGGAACATGTCTAGTGCCGACTCCCGAAGCAAGTCCGCGGGATGCTGACCCAACTACCGCATTCAGCCCATCCAAGACGTGTCGACCGACTCCATCGCGTGCAGTGGTTCGCCAGTGAAGAAATGGAGAAGCTCTCCGGATGTTATCGAGGTGCAAGCCGGATCGCAGGTGACGGGACTGTGGCTCCACGAACTGGGCAGTAGGTGTTTGGTTGCTAGCATCCGATTAGGCCTCAAAACGGGCGCGCTAACCTGTCGGAATAGGCACTGGCCCGGATGAGTACACGGACAACAAGGTCATCGCCTCGAGTCACCATGTACGAAGTTCCGCTAAGATCTATCCCGGGAACACCCGCAACTAATATGCTGTCTCCCTAGGGACCTGTCATGGCGTACCTCAAGAAAGTCGACGATGCCACCAACAACCCAGCCGGTGGCCCTGGCGACGGTTGGTTCAAGATTAGTGAAGTGGGCTACGAAAACCGTGTGTCACTCCCACCTGTCTCTCTCATACATCTTGCTAATCAAGTTGCCTCCTGTCAGAGGTATGGGGTGTCGACAAATTGGTAAGTCTCCATTACGTTCATGTCCATGACGCGTCTTCTAATACTTCCCTAGATCGAGGACGAGGGTATCCAGACGGTTACCATTCCCGAGTGCATCGAGGACGGCGACTACCTCTTGCGCTTTGAGCTCATCGCCCTCCACTCCGCCTCTGCGCCCATGGGTGCCCAGTTCTACGTAAATGACTCCACACCTCGCTCTTCCTCGTCCTGGAAAACACACGGCTGACAGAGTGTACGCAGCTCTCATGCGCCCAGATCCGGGTCTCTGGCGGCACTGCCAGCAAGACTCCCGAGACGGTCTCCTTCCCCGGAGCTTACTCCGTAAGTCTTCTTCTCGCGCGGCAGCGATTTGGCATTTCGTAGAGCTGACAAGCCGGTAGAACTCCGACCCGGGCATCCTGGTCCAGATTTGGGAGAACGACCTCCCGTACCCCGCCGACTACACTGTTCCCGGTAGGTTGGATGTTACATTGGTGAAAGAAGAAGGGCCCGCTAACAAAATACCAACAGGTCCCGCAGTTTTCACCTGCTAGAGCCGGAAGGTGGTCTGGGGTCCGTCGGCGCGTACATTCAGAGCTAGAGAGTGGGAATTTTGGAATTCAGTACGATCGAATTCTACTTGGGCCATAGCAAATGAAACGTATTCGAACGCGGGAGTCATCTAGCAGTGAACGATTCTGATTCACATACGTGCTGGTTTGTCCACTCTTTCGAGGGGCGGCTGTCGTGAGTAACGGGGCATTGCTCGAAGTGACTGAGTACGTATTTGAATCAACTACCTTTGTACTTTGGGTAGGTACCTATCCATTTATTTTACATAATGAGCCAGTAAATAATAACTGCCTAGTTGGCAGAGTGCTTAGTGGAAGTTTATAATGTTAGCAGTTACCAGTCCGCAGCCATTACTAGTAGGTACCTACCTAGTATACAGTTCATGCGATCTTGCGGGACTGGACCCTGTCGAACGTCAAACGTAAGACCTCTTCGACCTTAGGTAACTATCTCGCTAGGTTGGTGTAACATCGTGAAAATGTAAGGAATACTACTATTCCTTAGTCGTAGGGATGGCAAACAAGCTGAACAGTAAAAAGAGCTCGGAACCTGGTTACGTAGAGCTTCCTTTGAGACAAATAGGATTGGGGAATAACATGTATATATTAGGTACCGAGATACCTCAGGTAGGTAGGTACCGATTTAAGGGGAGTTTGTTAGTAGGACGTTTAGCTGAGGTACGTACTGTGACGGCCCGGCGCAGTCACAACAAGGTTGGTTACGTAATGAGCCACTTATACACTGCCCCACCCTCGGCACCGGGGGATCCACCTTTGGCGCATCCACTCTCGACACATCCGCCAATCAGCACGCTTGGTTCTGAAGCATCCACTTTCATTCACTGAATACCAAGACAGGTCCCTTGTTGATTAGATACAGGGGCTCTGTATCTGGGAACTATCCAGGAACCTGTGAAAGCAACAGCAACAGCGACCGACCGGAACCGACCGTCCCCTCGTCTATAAAAGGCCGCTGTTTCTCCCCTGGAACCGCACTTAGTTTAGTTCTTTACTTTTAGTTGTATTTTCGTTATTGGGTACAACCTTCAGGCTCGTCCTAAGTTCATTTGTGCACGCCGTGACACTACAACTAAAAGTCACTTCACCGGCCGGCGACGGCGACAGAACATCCATCAAGATCTCGACAGAAGACCCGCGGGGCAACACAACAGAAGACCTATTCAGGCACACTCGACTATGGCAGTCCCATCAAAGGATCCAAAGGGGAAGCACCCTGAGGATAACGGCTCCGAGGAGCATCCAGACAGCAACCCCCTGGCAGTAGTCCGGGAGCGGGTTAAACCCCTCGAGGGAAACTATAACCGAACCGACGATGAGTCGGACACCATTGCTTTCTTCCGGCAGATTGGTTTAACTCTCAGCAGCAGGCATTCGATGGCCCACGTCGACGGGCATATAGGCAGCTACCCTCTCCCGGACCTCTATAACCGACTCGCACAGAAGGACCTTGAAGGCGAGGACATCGTTAAGGAATTTGCTAAGAGGACTGATAACCTCCTTAACCAGACCCCTCTCCAGCTCTGCGATTCAGACGGAGAACTCGACGAGATCAACCAGCACTGGGTCCGCTTGGACCTAGGCCGTACTCTCTTGCTAATCCATAGGCTCTTCGCACAGCGGGATGCAGCGATCTCTCTTTCCCAGACTCTCCACCGGGTATCGATCGATAACCAGCTCCTGTTCCGACAGACCTTACAGCGGGTTCGAGAGCTGGAGGCTAACCCCGACGCGGCAAAGGAACAGCAGATCCTGGACCTCATCGAGGCCCGCGACCACTTGAACTCCCTGCTGGCCGAGGCCCAGGAGGAGGCAATTGCGGCTAGCAGGGAGGCCCGAGGGCTCCGGTCGAAGCTAGCTCAACGCAGCGACCCGAATCACCCCCAGGCCAGCGTGGAAGACGACGACCACAACACTCAAGGCTCCCGGCACCGGAGCGCAAAGATCAAGGACCCGGACCCTCTGACGATGGACGACGACCTGACACTTAGGGTTTGGAGGGGCCAGATGAACCGGAAGCTCTCCGGAAACGCCGACTGGTTCCCTACCGAAGACCATCGATTCGCCTACGTCACTGGCTTGGTCAAGGGCACAGCACTCCAGCACCTCCAGACCTATATCGATGAGACGAACGAGGACCGTTTTACCACTGTTCAAGAAGTCTTTGAGTACCTGGAGGATACCTTCAAGGACACAATGGAGATCCAGAAGGCCGAACAGAGCCTGGAGCAACTGACGATGTCTGGCAGCGACAAGTACCAGGACTTTGCTTCGAAGTTCATCCTCTACGCGACTCAAGCCAAGGAGCCGAAGTCAAAATGGAAGAAGGAGTTTAACCGGCGGCTAACTTACAAGCTGCAGACCGCTCTCGCCCGGGATTACATCAACTCCGGGATCGACTTCGAGGCCTTCCGGCATCTCGGTGCGGAGATGGCCCTCCTACACGAGCAACAAGACTTCGCTCGCCCAAAGAAGAAGGAGAAGGTTTCTACTAGCGGCACAAGAGCAGGCTCTGGTGCTCCTGCTCGCGGTGGCACCCCGGCTCGACAAGGTTCAGGCACCCCAGCCCCTGCTGGAGGCAGAGGCGCCACTCCACGCCTCAGCCAGGAGGAGAAGAACCAGCTGATGGCCGAAAACAAATGCTTCTACTGTAAGGAAGTCGGCCACTCGTCCAGGGACTGCACGAAGCGAATGGCAGCAGAGATCCGGCGCCTCGGTACGGGAGCTCCCACCACAGCTCCGACACCCGCTGCAGCACCTACTCCGACTACTCCTCCGGCCCCAGAGGCGGAAAACTAGCTGCCCTGGGACAAGCCTCCCTACCAGGGCGATTTGATGTACGACTATCGACAATCAAGGTAGACCTCCAGAAACTGATAGGCGGGGACAGCCTCACCGTCCCCTGCACCCTAACTAGCAATGGAATTGGAGTTACCTTAACTGCGTTGGTTGATACAGGAGCAGACCTCTATACCGCGATCGATCCCTCAGTGTCCACCGAGATAATAAAGAAACTAAACCTCATCCGCGTCCCCCTCGGGCGGTCGATCCCCGTAACCGACTACCACGGACGCCCCGGCACCCCGATCACCTCAGCACTGGTCTCGAACCTCTGGGTTGACGGCCGAATGGAATACTCGGCGCCCATCCTCGAAACCCCTCTCGGACCAAGCCAGCAGATGATCCTGGGCCGAATTTGGCTGGCGATCCACGGCGTGCTTCCCGATGCAAGGCACCGACGACTCGTCTGGCCACCCGAAAGGTCACGTGACACCCACCACCGGGTAATCGAGATTCCCTACGAAAAACTGCGTGCGCAGCCTGTCGACCCGGCACACCAGCAGGATATGCAGCGGCGCGACGGCGCGATCGAGAAACAGGACCGCCGACAACAGGAACAGCGGACCCTGAGCCTCTTGAAAAGGAAAAAACCCGATCCGCCTACCCTGGACCTACCCCGCACCGAGCAGCTACCCTGCACCGAGCCCGCCGGCCCGTGCGACCCACTGCACCCTGGTCGGGGAGGACATAAGGGGGCGCAGAAAGCGACAAGCACGGACCACCATTACAAGCACGAACAAAAGATGGCAAAGGCGCTGCGGGAACCTTACAGCGCTGACCCCCCTAAGGAACGAACGGTTGCAGAAGGGCTCCAGTGGGAATGGAGCCAATACGAAGACACGAAAGGCCTTGAGACCGCTGCCCGCGCAGTAATGATCAGCGCTGTAGCCATGTCTACGATGCTGAAGAGGAACCCGGGGCACCAACACAGCTTCGTATCAGTGGGAATCAGCTCTATCAACTCCATTCAGAAGGTGATCGATCACAAGAAAAGGCTCCTCGAGGGAGAAGACGAAGATACACAGAGGGCGATGGAGGCGGCAGCAAGCAAGCATCCCTACCTGGAAGAATACGCCGACGTGTTCTCGAAGAAGGAATCAGACAACCTACCACCACACCGAGAAGCGGACCACAAGATCGAGGTGGAAAGCAAACAGGGCTTGACAACCAGTCCACTGTACGGGCACACCCTGACCCAGCTGGAAGCCCTGAAGGCCTATCTAAAAGACTGCTTGGAGCGCGGATTCATCGAGCCCTCCTCGGCTCCCTTCGCCTCCCCGGTACTGTTTGCATTGAAATCTGACGGGTCATGGAGGGTTTGTGTGGACTATCGGAAGCTGAACGCGCTGACAACCAAGAATCGGTACCCCCTCCCGCTAATTGACGATACCCTGAGACAGCTGGGAAAGGCCAAGATCTTCACCAAGCTAGACATCCGACAGGCGTTCCACCGCATCCGAATGGACCCAGAGAGCGAAGACTTAACCACCTTCCGCACCCGCTACGGGCAGTACAAATATAAGGTGATGCCGTTTGGGTTGTGCAACGGCCCGGCAACCTTCCAGAGCTTTATCAACTCACAGGTGTTCGAGTTTCTAGACCATTTCCTGACGGCTTACATCGACGACCTCATCATCTACTCGGACAACGAAGAAGAACATCAGGAGCATGTCAAAAAGGTACTCCAGAAGCTCCGAGGAGCTGGCCTACAAGCAGACCTCAAGAAGTGTGAATTTCACACCACCGAGACTAAGTTTTTGGGATTCATCGTGGGAACCGACGGCATCCGAGTTGACCCCCAGAAGATCGAAGCCGTGACCTCTTGGCAGACCCCAGCGACGGTGAAAGGAGTTCAGGCCTTCCTCGGGTTCTGCAACTTCTATCGCCGCTTTGTGGAACGATACGGCAACATTGCGAGACCCCTACAGAAGCTGACAATGAAGGATCGAGCTTTCCAGTGGACCGACGATTGTCAGGAAGCCTTTGACCACCTGAAGAAGGCTCTGACCACGACCCCACTCCTTGTCCACTACCAGATCGAGCGCGAGACCCGCCTGGAGACAGACGCATCCGACGGGGTCATCGCGGGAGTTCTCTCCCAGAAGGTTGACGAGCTTTGGAGACCTGTTTGCTACTTCTCCAAGACAATGAACGGCCCGGAAGGCAACTATCCCATCCACGACAAGGAACTCCTCGCTATTGTCCGTGCCTGCGAGGAATGGTATCCCCTGCTCCTGGGCATCCAGAAGAAGTTCGAGGTCTTGACAGACCACCACGCCCTCCAATACTTTATGACCAAAAGATTACTAAACGCCCGGCAAGCAGGTTGGTCGGAGTTTCTAGCACCCCTAAACTTCGAGATCAAGTACCGGCCCGGCAAGATGAACGCGGCAGCGGACGGCCTTTCCAGGAAGACGGAGGACCTTACCACCCAGAAGGCGATCCAAGCCGCTTACCGAACACAGACCCTTTTGCCGGCTCACAAGTTAGACCCACAGGTGTTGAAAGAGTTTCAGGAGATCAGCGAGCAAGAACAAGACCTCCTGAACACGCAGGAGCCTCCGATCAGCGTCCAAGCCTGCAAGATCTGGAGCATCGACACCGACGACGTTGAAGGACGTCCCCAGGGGGTAGACCTCATCGACAAAATCCTGCAAGCGAATCGAGGAGCCGAGAGCCTCGAGTCGTTCCGAGAGATGGCAAGCAAGCCCGGCAATGACACTGACTGGACCATTCAAGAAGGACTCCTCCTGAAGGGAGGAAGGTTGGTAGTAGCAGGAGAGGACAACCTGCGTACCCACCTGTTGGCCGAGATCCACGAGCAGCTCCCTACTGCTCACCCAGGCCGAAACAAGATGCGGACCCTCGTTCGGCAACGGTACTACTGGCCAAAGATGTTCTCGGACATCGATACTTTCGTCCGCAACTGCCTCACCTGCAGGAGATCACACAAGCCGCGCGACAAGACACCCGGGCTCCTGAAGCCCCTAGACATCCCGAACCGACCCTGGCAGCACGTTACGATGGACTTTCACAGCATGCCCGAAGACAAGCAGGGCTACGACCAAGTCTTTGTGGTAGTAGACCGACTGACCAAAAGAGCCTATTCCCTACCCTGCTACAAGACAACCACCGCTAAAGAGATGGCAGGCATGTACTACAAGTACGTTTGGAGAAACCACGGGGTTCCAGATTCGGTGGTCTCGGACCGAGGCCCGCAATTCATCTCCCACTTCTGGGACGAGTTCTGCCGAATGCTAGGAGTCAAGATCAAGCTCTCCTCTTCCGAGCACCCACAGACTGATGGACAGACCGAAATCATGAACCAGTACCTCGACCAGCGATTGAGGCCCTTTGTCAACCACTACCAGGACAACTGGGCCGAGCTCCTGCCTGCAATGGACTTCGCCCAGGCCATCCTCCCGCACGAGTCTATAGGGCTTTCTCCCTTCGAAGTGGAAACCGGATACCAACCACGAATGTCATTCGACTGGGAAGCCCGTTCCCAACAGTCCCTTTCGGAAGCGGAAACACTCAGCAGAGAGGACGCAGTGAAGATGACCTCCAGGATCCAGGAGGCCGTCCTCCTAGCGAAAGAGCACCTCGAAAAGGCCCAAGCCACCCAGAAAAAACAGGCTGACAAGCACAGACGCCCGGAAGACTTCAAGACAGGTGACTACGTCATGGTTACGAAGGGAAACTGGCAAACGAATCGACCGAGCGACAAGCTGGACTTTCCGGTCTCAGGGCCGTTTAAGATCTTAGCTAAGAAGGGAGCTTCCTATCTCCTAGACCTGCCCGACACCTGGAAGATGCACCCGGTCTTCTCGCCCGACAAACTGAGGAAGGCTCCGAGCGACCCGCTCCCGGGGCAAGTCCCTACCCCGTTACCACCAGAGGAAATCGATGGGGAGCTGGAATACCAAGTAGAGAAACTGATGGGCTCTCGACTGACAAGGGGGAAACTGGAGTACCTGGCCAAATGGATCGCCTTTGACGACGACCCGGTCTGGTACCCAGCAAGAAACTTTAAGAACGCCCCAGCGGTGGTTCGGAAGTTCCACGAGGAGTTCCCAGAGGCAGCAGGCCCTCCCAAACGACTAACACAATGGGAAAAGGCACACCTCGAGGAACTAGATGAAGAAGACCACCCGGAAGACGACTTTCCGGAGTCACAGGCAAAGGAAGGACCGACACGATCACGAAGAAGGTACAAGTCATGAGGACACGACTCTCTTTTCTTTGGGGGGGGGTAGTGTGACGGCCCGGCGCAGTCACAACAAGGTTGGTTACGTAATGAGCCACTTATACACTGCCCCACCCTCGGCACCGGGGGATCCACCTTTGGCGCATCCACTCTCGACACATCCGCCAATCAGCACGCTTGGTTCTGAAGCATCCACTTTCATTCACTGAATACCAAGACAGGTCCCTTGTTGATTAGATACAGGGGCTCTGTATCTGGGAACTATCCAGGAACCTGTGAAAGCAACAGCAACAGCGACCGACCGGAACCGACCGTCCCCTCGTCTATAAAAGGCCGCTGTTTCTCCCCTGGAACCGCACTTAGTTTAGTTCTTTACTTTTAGTTGTATTTTCGTTATTGGGTACAACCTTCAGGCTCGTCCTAAGTTCATTTGTGCACGCCGTGACACGTACCGAACTACCTACCTACCATAGCGCGCCGAGGGGGGGGTACAAAATGGTTACGGTTAAGATTTTGTATGACGAAAATGACTTTTCCATATGAAAGTGCATTCGAAAATGGAAAATAACCATTACGATAAGCCTATAGTCGAAATGGTCAAAACTATGAAAAATAATTTCCATTAGAAAATGACTTTTTAGCTGGAAAATTATTATTTAGTAATAAAATAAATATATAATAACTAGGGGGGGGTTTGAAAATGGTAGTTGTTAATGTTTTCCGGTTCTAAAATGATTTCCCTATAACATTAGCTTGTAATGGTGTTTAGTAACAAAATATTTCAATCTGAAAATTATTTTCTGGTAGTAAAAGCATTTTAATGTAGTAATATTTTAAGCCGAAATTATTTTCTACGAAAAAAATCATTTCGGAATCTTTGTTTTTAGTATTGAAAAAATGTCAGGGGTCTCTGACTGAAGAACTAGAAACTGAACTCTTTGGAGAATTACTGAAGAAGATGCTGATGCAGATACGGGCTGCGAAACTAAGGCGATTCACAGGCGAACAAAGATTCAATTCCTAGCTAAACACTCTTGTTCAGACCTGAGGTTAGGTCTGGGGAGCAACTGGAACTGATCCTTAGGGAGCTTCCCCAGGATCGGGCTCGGCTATGCTTAAAAGGCTCCTTGCTGAGCCTTATGACATTATCATCCATTCTGGGGCTCTGAGGCCCTGTTCCGTGACAACTAAAAACATTGAAATACCTCTTTTAATACCTCTTTTCAATATCTCTTTTCAATACCTCTTTTATAGATTTACAGATTTACAGATTTACGGATTTACGGATTTACGGATTTACGGATTTACGGATTTACAGATTTACAGATTTACAGATTTACAGATTTACAGATTTACAGATTTATAGATTTACAGATTTACGGATTTACAGATTTACAGATTTACAGATTTACGGATTTACGAAAAAAGAGAGCTCTTTGAAGATTCGAACTTAGAACCTCTTAAAGAGAAAACTCAAACTTTACTAATTAGGCTAATTACATTTCTATTAATAGTAACAAGAAAAAGTTCCAGCTTATATAGGCTATCTAACTATTAATTAATATATTATAAATTAAGAGAGAGGAAACTTTTTTTTCTTCTAAGTTCTTTTAGTAAAGTAATATTAAAAATAAATATAAAGCTCTAAAATAATTTTAAAGCTATAAAATAGTTTTAAAAATTAAAATAATATTTATTATTAAAGTTATTTTAAGGTTATAATTAAAATAGTTACTATTTTATAGATTTAAAGTTAATTTTAATAATATTTATTTTATTATATATTTATTTTACTATTAAATAATAATTTTCTAGCTAAAATATTATTTTCTATTGGAAATTATTTTCTATAGTTTTGACCATTTCGACTGTAGGCTTATCGTAGTGGTTATTTTCCATTTTCGAATGCATTTTCATATGGAAAAGTCATTTTGCTCATGTAAAATCTTGACCGTCACCATTTTGTAACCCCCCCCCGGCGCGCTATGGTAGGCTTGGATCGCGTGGTTGGGCAGCAACTTGTCCCGGCTCCATGTTGGCTGAAATTTGAACCTTTAACTACCCATTTTCTTCGAGGACAACCGATGCACCGCCGGCCGAGACCCTGGATGCCGTGATTCCGAATAGACGATGGATCCAATTAGTGCCTTGTCAATTGCCACGGGCATCGTCGCTTTTGTCGACTTCGGGGCCAAGTTGGTCTCGCTCTGGCTAGAGATTCAAGGATCCGAAGATGGTCGCCCCGCAGCATTGTCCGCTCTCGAGACCGAATCACGGGAGCTCTGGGCAAATGCATCCCATGCTAGAGACAAGGTCGCGAGCCTCCAGGCGCGATATCCCGGGCAAGCCGAATCGCTCGCTAAACTCGCCGCCCAATGCACCCAAGCTGAGAAGGACTTGCGGACTCTCACAGACAGCTTGAGAGCCAAGCCTGGCCATGGTTTGCGCGCCCGGGGCGCCCAAGTATTGGTCTCCATCCGCGGCATCCAGAAGCAGGGCGACATTGAAGCGCTACAGGGCCGACTGAGGAGCATTCGCGAGCAAACAATGATGAGCCTGATCATGTGTATCTCGTATGTTTTTCATTCCTCCTTCTTTTTTTTCCTTTTTCTTCCTTGTCGGCACGAGTTGGAGGGGAAAATGGGACAGCAACCGTATTCCGATTGTTTCTTATCAAAACTTTCAGCACCAAATTCCCCGGCTCAATGGTAAACGCTAACTAAAATCCCGGATTTGGCAGAAAACGATGTTGCAGAGAGTTGCGCAAAGCTTGACAACGTCGACAGCAGTATTGAGGAGGTCCTAGACATTCTCCATCCCATAAGAATGACCATCGACAACCTTCAACCGGCGTTCCACAACATTTCTCGAAACCGGCCTTTGACGACCACGCTTGAGAGGGATAATATCGCGAAGGGACTGTGGACTAGTATAGTCACAGCTGACCAGCCCCATTCCCAAACCTTTCCTGGCCATATTGGGGAACCATTCAAGGATAACAGCCACATCTACAACAAGATCCTGAGGAGCCTTGAGTTCGAGGACATGGCAGCTCGGGAGAGCCAAATCGACAATGCTTTCCCCGAAACCTTTCAATGGCTTCTTGATGACAACGGTTCCCAGACCGGCAAGCCTTCGCCGACACCGCCGACGAAATTCAAGGAATGGCTGGAGTCACATGACAACGAAACCCCGTTTTGGATTACAGGCAACCCAGCTTCCGGGAAGAGCACGTTGATGAAGTTTATCTGCACGAATGATCAGGTCCAGACTCACCTCCGGGTGTGGTCTGACCAGTTTCGACTGCTCACATGCAGCGTCTACCTTTGGAATCCAGGATCATTGAGGCAGAAAAGTCAAGTCGGCCTCCTATCCATGATGCTCCACCAGCTTCTCTACCAGCGACCAGACCTTTGCCGCGTCGTCGCCCCGAGGCGGTACTTGTACTTCCAAGTTGCCGGAACAGATTCGCCCCATCCACCGGATTGGACTATCGAAGAGCTCCGGGACGGTATTACTGGATTCGTTTCCCAGATCGAAGGTGCCAACCGCCTTGCCTTTTTCATCGACGGTCTTGATGAATATGAAGGCAACCTCGAAAAGCTTGTATCCTTCCTCAAGCAGCTCCATCACAGCCATAAGGTCAAGCTTTGCGTCTCCAGCCGGCCTTGGAATCTGTTTAAGGACGAATTTCGTACATACCCGTCGTTGAGAATGGAACTTCTTACCAAGCCCGACATCGAGAAGTATGTCCATACGCGTATAGGTAGCACCCCTGCGTTCCAAGAGCTACGTGCACTTCAGTCTGCTAGCGTTGAGAATCTGGAGTCCCAGATTATCGAGAAGGCGGAAGGTGTCTTCCTCTGGGTGGTCTTGGTCGTCGAGAAAGTGATCGCCACAGCTCGTGAGAATAATGACCTTCACGAGATCTCGAGAGTTTTCAATTCCTTGCCACCTGGACTGGAGGAATTGTATGATTCGATGCGCAGACGCCTTGGCCCCGCCCACCGCAGTAGGGCGGCGACAATGTACCAGCTGGTCTTTCGATGGAACGAGATCGCAAGCCGGCCTTTTGGTGCACTCGAGTTCTGGATGGCTATTAACTGTCACAATCCCAGTGACTTGCCGGCCTGCCCTCTGGACGATCAAGTTACGGAAATCTTACCTATGTTGGAAAGGCGGTTGGCTGGAGCGACCGGTGGGATTTTACAAGTTCTTCGCGTGGATACTCCCGAGAGAAACCTTGTTCGGTCATCCCAAGCGACATCCGTTGGGTTCCTCCATCGAACGGCGTTTGACTGGCTGAAGGCTATCAGTTATAAAATCGTCCAAGACGGCCCTGTGAACTACGACCCGGGGCTGACGCTCACATCCGTTCTCGTTTCTCGACTGAACCATGACGTTTTCGGTCTAGAAACTTACCACTCTACAGTTGACATCGACGACGCCTATGCAGCTGGGCGGACTTGCAATCCTTCACCTGCCACCAGGTCCAAGCTACTCGGTATCATTGAACAACTTCTCGTGCACCGTAGCCTGAAGCCTGGCAGGCACTATCTCAACCCAATGGAGATTGACGTTCTCTCGTCCCATCCGGACTCGACCGTTCGTTCCTATCTCGCTGCTCGCTTTCTTTGTTGGCCATACCTTCAAGCAAAACTCGAGAGTGGTTCATGTACCACGGGCCTGGAATTACCCCGGAAGCTGCATCAGGTTCCTACAGCATTTTGGGATACGTTACGAAAAGACTTCGTGGCCAGAATCCTTGGGTTTGTGGTTGGGAGTACCGAGCCGCGAGGTGAGACATGCGAGGTTTTCAACATGAGATTGAAGACGTTTGAAATCCTTCTACAAATCCAAGTTGCACCCCGACGCATTTTAGAGGCTAAAGTTAGCCCGAGGGTTGAGGATGGTAGCTCCCCGAAACGGTTCTGGCAAGCTCTCCAGGCTGGCCTTGAGGGGAAGGGATTTGTCGAGCTAACTGCTCCAACGGAGGAGGAATCAGACTGGGATTTTGACTTCCGGCCACCCCTCAGTCATATAAGGGCGACGACGCACATTAAGAGGGGTTTTAGGGAATATATGCACGACCAAAAGGTGAAACTCGTGCAGGCGATGCCATCTGTGTTGATCGAGATCTCCGTGGGAGACTATACGGTGCGGGTGGGAGGGGGAACTTTAACTACCACAGCGGGGCCCTGGGGGGATCAAAATTGCTAGCCTGCTGGTCAAGGACGGGAGAGAAGAGACGAGATTGGCGCAGAAGAAGGAAAGATGAACGAAGGGAGCGGTGACAGTAAAGACCGCCGGTGGAACCGCTAGGGTCAACAACCGTGGAGAAAAAAGAGAGGAGAAGAGAAACAACCGGAGGGGGGGTAACGGCTATTATTATGCTCTTCTTGCTGAGCAGTTACCTCATGACCGTTTGTGGACGGGCTGTGGCCGGCTCGTTTGATTGGATGTATCTGTCTTTCACCTTTCAGTGTGCCCACTGGTCACCGCCTATCTGAAACCCCATGTTGTCGTGTTGGCGAAGTCTGCTTTTTCGGCCGGATGGAGGTTTTGCAGCAGACCGACATTTTGAGACGTCTGCACGTCCCAGCTGCCCCCACCCCTACCATCGACCATGAACTTCCATATTAGCGTCTCGTCGTCACTGTCGTGTGCTGGCACTGTTCCTCCCCACGCGTAGAAGACGCTAGCTTCCGCGTCGGTCCGGATGGTTGGGAGCATTTCTCGGTATCTCCTTGGCTTTGGGAATGACATTGATGACGACGGAGCCGCTGTGCTCGGATTCAAACATGTCGACGAAAAGGGTGGCGTTCGAACCGCTCTTAATAAGCCCTCCCGCCTCGTTATCGTGCTGGACCAGTTCCCCCCAGTCATCCTCCCCGACTATCAAGGCGTCCTTCCTTCCAGATCCGTTGTTCATCGGCTTCGAGACCAAAACAGACATCCACCTGCGAAGCTCCATTCTCTGGCTAAAAGGCAAGTCTTCGTATTGAGGGTTGTGCTTCCTCGCACTATCTTCTCGGTCCGTCGTCTTTCCGTATGCTACCTCGAGCGGGCTGCATCACCCAGAACTGGCTGTCTAGAGGGGGAAGATGAATGTGGCAGGACACGAATGGCAATGATACAATTCTCCATATCCCCACCCAGGCTTGGAAATCGGCTGACCCCAATGCAGACGCCGTATGGTATAAATAGTGACTAACGATGGGTAACTATAATTGTGGCCCGCCCTACTCCTCCTAGAGCCACCTTCTCAGATTGGCCGGTAGACACTGCACCCACCACATGTCCGCAACCTTTAGTTCATCGCCATACCAGGGAGAGTATCAAACCCTGGCGCACTCAACGTCAGTCCCACCCAGAAGCACCTCAGTCACATAATCTTGGGGAGCGACTTACATCCGTCCACGTCCTCTTTCACCTTCTTGGGGATCTGACACTTATTGGCACTGTCGATGCTCTGCGACTTTTGGTTACCGCAGTCGGCAGCAAAACAGCCGTTGGGAACGTCCATAGCCCGCTGAAGCGCGTCACCCTTCCAACCAAAGACGTAATCGCCGTGCTGGCCGTAGCCGGTCGTGTCACCGGTGCTCAGGACAAAGGGCTGGCCCGTGGCCGGCCACAGGGACCTGTCGTTGAAGGCGGTGGTGTCCCAGACGATCTCGAGCATCAGCTGCGGGATCTTTACGGGATGCGACGCCGGGCAGTCGCCCGTCGAGAGGAAGGTCGAGGGCCCGCCCGTCGGGTACGCGACGTGGTCCTTGTGGTTGGGCGAGTCGAGGTTCTTGCCGTCCCAGCACGTCGGATAGAGCACGTTGGACCGGATCCCGCCCGGGCACGCCTGCGGTGGGAACCCCTCGAAGTCGCGCCGGCTGTCGGTGCAGGGCGCCGCGTCGTCTCCGCCAAAGTTGGGGCCGCTGAAACAGCGGAAGCAGCTCTGCGACTTGTACAGCGGCGTGCGGCGGGCGACGTCACCGACAAACATACGGAAGCCCTAGGTATGTTAGCTCGGTACATATGATAAGGAAATATCATTCTTTTGTAACAGACCGGCTTGAAGGCGGTGACTTTGCCCTTGCCCGGGGAGATGTAATAGACGGTTACGCCGCCGTTGGTCTGCGTCGTGAACCTGTCGTTAAACAGGAAGCGGTTTGGCACTTGCGGCACGCGCTTGTAGCTGCCGTTCGGGGCTTGGAAGTACATATTCGCAGTCCAGTAGTTGCTGAAGTCGTCAGCGGGGCCACAAGTCGTGCAGGTTGCAAGCTCGGCGATGTCCGTCTTTGGCATTGACACATTGAATGCGTTGCCTCCGATAATCTGATGCGTATGCGCGCTTGGCATCCTATCTGGCTCCACGAGAGGGTCGAGACGCTCGATCGTAAGCTGCGAGCAGCCGAATCGAAGATGGTTTAGCCCGTTGAGGAACTGGGCATTGGCGAGCGCCACCAAGGCGAGACTAGACCACAACATGGTGCCGGGTAGAGGGCGATGATGAAATAGACTAACAGAGACTGTGAAATCCTGTGAGTGATGCCGTGAACAAGGAGGAAAGCATTCAAGAGAAGGGCATAGCAGGGAAGGCGGTTAGTAAATACCGACGATCTTGCCGCGCCTTATTGCGTCCAGCAGCACAGTAGTGGTTGTTCTCAACTGCCAGGTCACACCCCTCCAGTGCACCCAACGCCTTGGTTATTGACAAGCTCTTGGAGAGAAACTCGAACTTCGGCAAAGGACCGATTGGGTGGGTATTTGCCGGCAAATGTCGAGGAGGCGGTATTCAATATCATAACTCCTCCAATCGGCACGACTCCTGCTTCTGAATAGGGGATGTCAATCTATTCCCAGATGTTAACCATGTTCCGGTATCCGAGATAAATAACGCCTGCTACTACTTCTATTGGGGCAGTAATTGCCGGCAGGTTTGGTATAATTAGGTTATCGAGGTAGTACCTGCCCTAGGTACCTACAGGATTGGTACTAGGTCGTTCTCGCTAAGGTATCACACAACTAATTACAACTCTTCCAAATCAGTGATGCGAAAAATATAACGACTTTTAATCTGTCGATATCCACACCTCGAGCCCCATTGTACTCAGTGTGTCATTGTGGTAAATATTCCGATGACCCTCAGGGAAGAGTTCGTGATAAGACCGTGACCCTTAACGTTAGATAGGTACCCTGTTCACGTGTTTCTACGATTGAATAATCAGGTACTTGATTTCCCATCGATGCTGCCTGATCACTTGACATCATCTCGAGCAGTGCAGCTTTAGGATGGCTACCTCGTTGCCACAGGGAACTTAATTCGTCTATAAGCAAATACGTAAACGCCTAATACAGGACGAATAACAACTATACCTAGCTCGGTATAGATATTGTAACCATGCACCCAAATCCTCATTACTGTCATACTCCACCCCTTGTCCTTTTTAGGCAACTGACTTAAAAGCTGCAAGCGAAATCAAGCTTCCGGACCGCGTTATAGATTTGTGGTTGTCTAGCTTCTCTTTGGTCCCGCGGCGGGACATGCGTAGGTACCTAGCCTTGCTGAGCGTCAAATGTGGAAGCGAGGAGGAAGGGTTTGTCCCGCGGTTAATGACCATCAGCGCTGCTCGATGCCGGCTTCAAAATGGTGCATTCGGGTAAGCAGTTTGCAGGTGTAACACAGGCCGCGGATGCAGTTTGCCCGTGTCTGCGCTTCCAGTCGCGGTCAGATCTAACGCAGCCCAAGCAAGATGCGGAAAACGAGTACAACCACACCCACCGTTGCGTTGTCATGAAGTTCAGCTCGGTTACTGGTGCCAATGCCTTAGATGCAACCCACCCACTCCGATACCGAGGTCCGTCGGTCGAACGATAACTAAGGCTCAGCAGGTAATTGGATGAAGCCCTCGAGCTGAGAAGCGCGGGCCCATATTCACTCCGGGAGTGAGACTCTGACAAGTAAGCAATTTCAGCCAGACAAAACAGTAAAGCGTCCAAGCGCATGCCGGAGTGTGAGCCGACCTGTTGTCGTCCTCATATTTAAACGCTCAAGTTTCCTACCTTCGTAGCTCTGATTCCCAATGCTCTATGGACTGATCAAAAAGTACACGAAACCATACCTCCTTTAATACCTACTAGAGGAGATTTTCAACAGTATCCCGCTCGAAAATGGGCCCCCATATCCTCCTTCTCGTCTGGCTTTATACAGTCCTATCCCTCGGCGCCGCCGTCTCCCCTCTTCACGATCGGAACCTCGCCCCGCGGAAAGTTGACGCCACATTCATGACCTTCCCGGTGCCCCGCTGTAGCTCCGCCGGCAAGGTTGAAAGACACATCAATGGGCGTTGTGAGCGCTTGGAGCCTCGTGTCAGGGCGCTAGTAGTCAGGGAGGTTCTCGATGGTTGTAGGAGTAAGTTAGATTCTTTCGAGTGCGTGGGGCTTGCAGTGCAGCTAATAAGGGGGCTACTATAGCTTTTGGCTTTTCGACCCCGACCTGCTCTGGGCTGAGGACTGTGTTGCGTGAGGATCGGTGCTATAATGTGACGAGTTATGCGTCGACGAGGACACTCTGCAACCAGCTGGGATGATTGAGCTGGAAGTTGGAATGTGCTTGTTGAGAAAACGTACGGAATGCATATGGTAAATAGGCTGCTTCCAGAGAGAAAAGCAGAAAGAGGGTCGATCTTAGTTCAAGTCAAAGTAACACACTCCCACACGGGCTTTGCCATCCTGTAACAAGAAGTCCGTCGGCATACATGCTCACTCTGATCTTCACCTCCGGCACGCCCTCCAAGTCCTCGACAAGCATAACCCAGATAGTCATTGCCGCGTTTTCGAGGTCAACATCAGTTGGCGGCCAGAAGCTGTGACCAATGTACACAATCTCATGCTCCCTCCCTTTACCTTCTACGCCGAATTCAGCGGTATATCGATACCTCGGACTCTCGGAGTTCCTGCTTGTGAACACCGGTATATTAAGATTGAGTCAATCTCACTGGACCCCGGAGCGGTTGGGTATCACCATAATCAGCTGCAAGAAAAAAAAGATGTACACGTACAAAGGTAGATAAGCTAAAGTAGAACTGCCGAATAACCTACATTTTGGGTTGAAGCACAATCTTGGAACGTGTCAATCGTCTCACCTCGTCCTGAGTTCCCGCCGAGCTTTCATTCCCTCGCTTGACCCCCGCTAACATTCACAGTCGACGGAGGGGAACGCTGCCCTGCAGCGCCTGCGCCAGCCTGATCATGTCGCTGAACCCGGGGCAGCTGTAATGTGTCGCCACCCGGCTGTCGTCGCGGCCGTTGCCCCAACACTCCGTTCTGCTGCTCCGGATCCTTATCCTCAGTCGTAGCCTCCCTCTTGAACCATCCGCGCCATGCCAGAACGGAGTGTCCCGTACACTTCGCGCAGCCAGCTCCACCTTCCGTATCCGTCCTCTCCGCCTGTCCCCCCCCGTTCTTTTTATCTCTCTCGGCGGCCTTCTCCTCGGCCTTCTTCCGCCTCCTCGCCTTTCGAACTTCGTCCCTGAGCAGAAAGACTTCCTCCTCCGTCTTTTGCACCAGCGTGGTGGAGCGCCATCCGTCGTTGAAATCAAGCCACTTTTTGTAGAGGCCTGTTTTGACGACCACTAGGGTGGTGGTGTATGCGTAGAAGGACCAGATAACGGCGCGGAGAAAGGGGTAAAAGGCGACTACGAGACAGACGGCAACGATGCCGATTGATATTGGGACTGGCAGTAGTGTTAGTCAATGGTTCGAGTGCATCGAGGGAGGGTGTGGCCTACACATGAGCTGAAACTGGTTCTTCACGGTCCAATCAGTGTTGTCTTGGCCAAAATCTTTGTTGTTCATCCCAAAAACGCTGGACATGAACGATAGTGGCAGCTGGAACCTGGGTTAGCCGCCGGTACTGCAACGTTGATATTCTCGGACGGTTCACCCACGAAAACGATGGTGATGATGGTAAACATCATAATGGCGCGCCCTTGACGGACGGCTTCCTCTGCCTGTCTCGCAGACTCCCAGGCCTGCACAACACTCGCCTGTTGTTGCTTGAGGGAAAGGAGATCGGTTACCTAGACAGAATTAGCCATGATATGGACATGATTTCGGTGAGTTCATCACCTACACTTTGAGCCGTGCTCTTGGCACTCTCCCGGAGGGCCTCTAGTTCGCCGATGTGATCGTCAACCTCGCAGAGCAAGTCTTGTGACTGCATGTGGAACCAGGCCAGGTGGTCTTTTCTTCTCGCCATATCCACTCTCCGCGCTTCGCTTTCCTCTTGCTGTTTCTGTGTTTCAGTCCGCTTGCCTTTCTTTCTGTCGCCGGCAGTCTCGGGCCCAGTTGACAACCGTTTGCTCGGGTCCGGGCAGTCAAAACCGTCATCTCTGTACTGAGCTGATAGCTGGCTGTCAGGACCGTTGTTCCTTAGTTGTCCATCAGGATCCAGTATGTTTTCGACGTGTTTGCAGTACCGTCCGATGATCTCCCTCTGGCGTCTGGTGAGATTGATCATGATTTCAAGCTCGTCCAGAATGTCTTTGATTTCTCGCTGCAGCTTTCCTTCAGGGTGGATGTCGAGAAGAGGCACATGCAGCTCGGCTGTCTCGCCGTAGTGTTTCGAGATGGAAGCCGAACGGTACACGCTGGACGCTTTCTTTGTCCAGTGCCAGACGTGTTGAAACGACGTTGTGTGTTGGTTGGTCTGTGGATATTGAAGGGTGCAGAGGGTCAGCAGAGAGTCAACACGTCTAAGCACCGCCGGATATTGTACTGACCACATTCCCAATTGCCTCCGAGAAGATATCCATGACTTGTGGTTGACTCTCCTGCTGCCGTGTTAGGTAACTAGACGTGGTAAAGGGAAGCGGGACCTGAGGCACGTACATGTGTTCTGGTTCGGTCCAGAAAGGTGTTGGAGCACTCATCGAGGACAATCAAGCCAAGATCGTAGACGGATCTGACCTGATTCTTGCGGGCGTTCCGGAGTCGGTTCCGTATAGACTTGTGTATTCCATGAGCGTCGTGCTTGTTATAGCCGTATCTTCTCGGGAAAGACGTGATGATGGTCTGTTCGTCCAGTATCCACATCCAAAGTTGATCAACCATAATGAGCTTGGACGTCTTCTTGATGTCGCTAGTGCAGTGATCACAACCGTCCTCATCGGTTATGGACCAGTGCTCTTGCCATTGCCAGTGGCATTTCCCTTTACAACCTTTTGCTCTCCATGGCGGCCAGTGGGACTGGGCCTCGGGTTTGTCATCGGAGTCGTCACAACAGCTCACATGGAACCTTTCGGGGATCTCGGAAACGGCCTCGTCGGGCTGATTGGCGGCATTACCCTTCAGAAGACCCCAAACCTGAGGCCATGTCCCTTGGAGAATCCCCCAGAGGCCTTGTTTTGGGGGCTGCTCCAAGGGAATCTTCTTGAGCTTGTGAGCGAGTTCAACGTCCATACTCGTCTGTCGGTAGACAACTTGATCTCGGTCGCGAACCCTGGTGCTCCTCAGCGTCCAGTAGTGAGATTGATCCAGGGTCCTGCGTGGATGCAGGGGTGGGGTTTTGTACAGGTAGTCCTTGAGCATCCGCCGGTCTCGGAAAGTAGACATGGCCTCGTAGAGCCTGGCAGCATCAATGAGGTATTGCGCTAGGGGGCCCAATCGTCCGGCTGGTGCTATGAGTCGTCCATTATCGACCTTCATTCCGTTTTGAGTCGTCCTGCCTACCTCCACCCTGTTGAGAACGTCGGCAATGGACCATAGAGGCGCGCCTATCTTTGGGGCGATCGCTTGTGACGGGACCGGGGGCGGTTTGGGATGCTCCAGTCTCCTTTCCGAGTTCTTGTCGGTAATCTTCTCCCTGGCCTTTTTGCGCTTCGTCTTGTCTTCGGATTCTCTCTTTTTCTGCTTTTTCCGTTGGCTCTCCGACTCTTCTTCCATCATTTTGCAGACAGCGCTCCTCATCCTATCTGTCTCCCAATACATGTATGGCATCTGATTACCAAAAGGTTAGCTTTCGGGTCCCGTTCTGGAGAGAATACCTATACAGAGATACACACAAAGAGAACGATGTTGCTCGGGTTATCCTCGATGACGTCGACCGCTGGAGGCACGTCAGCGATCAAGTCTAAATGCAACAATGTATCGGTAAGACAGGGGTTAACCAGTATGTACCTGTTGATACCCGCTCACACAGCGGCCGCATGTACCTTGCGTGCACGATGCCGCTTTGGGTACCATGCTGTTGGCCGCGCCACAGCTGTGGACGAAGGAGCATCTCGGTCTGCGTTTTGATGACGGGCTGAAGTTCAATGTGACTTTTGCTAAGATTGGGTCGCGGGTCACCATAGTATTCGGCGATCACACGCTGTCGCCAAGTCAGCCACTGGGACGACGACGCTGCCACAGGTATCAAGTCTGTAGGAACGGGACATGGGAGTTACCTCGACCCACTGCAGTGTCAAATTAGTATAGCAACAACAAATCAAGAATCACGCGAGGACTCACCTCCATATTATTATATGGAATGTGGAAGTACCGCACCCTCGTCTTGTCTTTGCCATCGCACTGCCGTTTTGACAACACCGAGGTATTAGCCCCGGGGCTCTGTGTATCATCAACCGGTTGTCCAAGGAGCAGACTCATTGCCAACCGCTGGTCTGGGAATTTGCCCCTGAACCGCGCGTCGTCCAAGCTTTCGTCGACTTGCCTGACGGGTAAGTGACGTTTCTTCGGGTCAAAACTGGCTGTCTCGTCGGCGGTTCCGGTTCCGTCTGCGGTCATGTTTCCCTCTGCTGCATCCCGGGTGTATCTGTAGGAAGATGGTCAGGTTTGACATTCACGTCAAGTACGTACAGTGGAACAATCAAAATTGGGGGGATACTGACTGGATAAGATATGCATTGACGTCCCGCTCGAGTTCGTAGTCCTTGACTTCTTCTTTTAGGTACTGCTTACCACGTAGCTTTTCGACAATTGCCTTAACATCCTTTCGGTCATCTCCAATCTTGACGTCGCCGGGGTGCATGGGCTGTTTGTCCCTCCTCCACTTTTTGACTTTCCCGATGCCATCCTTGAACTCCTTGCAGGCCTGCCATGCCTCACGGCTGTCGTTGACATGTTGAACAAGACTGCAGCTCCCAGGTGACGTGGGCTCCTTGGCCAAGGCCTTTCGCAACACGTCGGTCCTCTTGTACTGCGCTTCGATTGAGACGGCCAACGACTTGATGGAATTTTCGATCTTTTCCGTTACTTGTGCATCAAGGGCAGCAAGTGCATCGCTGTCATTCTGCGGCGGCTGCTCTTTGGCTTCGAGATGGGACAGCTCGTCCTTGGCTTTCTTCCAGAACTCATGGTTTTTGTTCAGGAAGCCGACTCGTTCACTGATCTCGATGCAGCCCGTGTAATGTTGAAGCAGGTCTCGAACCGCTTCAGGGCCATGGTAGGCTGTCGATAAACATGTGACACTATCGGGTTCTTCGTCAAGGGTCGGTCGTCTTGACCGGAAGCTGTTGTTGTAGACCGAGCTTCTCCGACGCGAGGCATCTCTACATCCTCGTTCCATAGACCGTCTGCGAGGGGGGGCCATTTTGGTTGTGTCGAGGCTGGAGACAATGGTGACAGACGGAACATGCCTGTTTAGAAGACGGACTCTCCTTTTCTACCGGTACGAAAGTTGGCACATCGATGACAAGGCTGCGCTCACGCATGCGCGCGGACTTTGGGAAGGCCGGTTCCCACATCAGGGTGCAGATAATATTGAATGCGTGCAGATGGTGGCGGCGAATGGCGGGACACTGCCCAATGATGTACATACGAGCTGACTGATGGTGTGTAGGACAGAAGGTTCAGCGGCTGTCGTCAGCCGAAATGAGGCTCTTCACAGCGGCTTCAACTGGTTCGGCCATAGAGAAGGCTTTCCGCGCCGCAGATTTGTGTGGCCTGGCCGAGCGAATCAGCTACGACGACTTTGGAAGTCGGTCCTGCCGATCAAAATGCAGAAATACCTGCTGCCTTCCGGCTTTCTGCTGCTGTGTCCGGCAAACGCCAGTTGGACATGCCGGCAGGCCCCGCAACTTTTGTGGTGGACGTGTCGAGGCTGAACGCGATCCATCTGGGGGGACCACCCGTGACATCCTTACCGTTGAGGTAGATATAGCGGGCAAATAAATCGCCGCTCTTAGCACCGGGCAGAAAAGTCCCATCTTGTTCGTCTTGAGTAACTACGTCAAGTGTTAGTGGTGTCAGGGTTTTCAAGGCCGGCGTGAAACAGTGTTGGGGAGCGGTTTCGGCGCGTAAACCCAGTAGCATTGGGTGGTGGTTGGGACGACACTGAAGCATTAACCTCTCAAAATAGGTACAGGCGTTTCCAGCTTTTTATACCGCATCCCGCAATGTGAAAGCCCCCGACACTATCGCACCGTCTACTTACCTACCTAGGTATGTAGGTACCTAGGTAGCTAACTTCATCTACCCACTTATATTACCGCTTTACTGACACTATAAATCCGCACCCAGCTCTCTCCACAGCTCCTCAAACCTCCCCCCGCCGACCATCCCAGTACAAACCTTCTTCTCCACCATGTCTAGTGGCCGTGCCCAAGCCCTCGACTTTGCCGCTGCCACACTCCTCCGTAACCTCCCGACGAACCACGCCCTCGTCTCGGAGCCCGGGCGAGCAGCGATGGCGCCTAGCATCATCGGACACGAAACCATCTCGGTGAAGGAACATGGCCTGAAGGGGAACCGGCATATTGCTTGCCGGAGCTCGCCCGCGAGCTGTGTCAGCCCGCCAGGGGTGAGCTGATTCTCCCAGCACAGCCAGAGGAGGATCTCGGCGGAGAGGGACGTGGCGACGACGTAGGGGTTTTCTGGGACTGAGCGGCGGAGCTCTCGCGCTTCGTGGAGAAGGTGCGCCCACTTTTGGTCGATTTCGTTCTTGAAGGGAGATCTTTCGTGGTGGTAAGCTGTGATCAAGTCGCGAAGGTGCAAGAGATGCTGGGTCATATCCGCAACCTTTGTGATGGCGGGGATGCCGTACGGCTGGACTGCATCTAGTAGTCGCTTATCGCAGCACAGAGGGAAGCCGAACACGGCGTTGATCGCATCGCTGGTTACCGCGTCAGCACACGGTATATTTGGAATCGGAACGGTGCGGCATACAAGATGATCATGTTACTAAACCAGACTGGCAAATCAGTTTGACCTCGCTGCGCTCTTGCGGTAATGAGCTGAGCCAGACCACCAATGTGAACGTGCCAGGCTTCATCGTCCAGACCGAATCGCTCCCCGACGGCCATATGCAGAACCGCTGCCATCACGGCGTCTGTGAGGGCCTGCTCCGTCGCGATGCGATTCATGATGATGCTCAAGGCGGAGGAAGAGCAGGCCAAAGCCTCCTTCTGATACGCTGCATTGGGCGACCAGATCCGGAAACCGATGGACAGAGAAACTTGGGCGAGTGCCGCCTCTGAGACGAGCAGCTGCAGCCACGCTCCCTCTTGGGAGCTAGCGGGGTAGGTCTCTCCGTGAAGAAAGAAGTGTGACCAGAAGTCGGACACTGACAGGCACCGTATCAGTCACTGTTAATCCGGCTCTTGGGAGAAGGGCTATCCTTACGGAACTTCTCCCCGCCAATCGAATATTTCTGCGTCTTCAAAACTGGGGGTTCAAGTCTGTCTTCGGTGTGGCATAGCTCATGCTCCGCCCTCTGGAGCTCTGCCCTTCGCCGTCGTCGTTTTGCAAAGTTGCTTCGGGTTACATGGCCTCGCATGAGCTTTGTATCGGCTCTCGACAGGCCTGGCCTTCCTGTGGTGGTCACAAAGACCAAATCCGTCGTGCTCATGATTTGACGACTTTGCCCTGGTGCTGGAGATTGTTCTGTTTCCATGTCGAGAGCGGTGATGGCCTGGGCACGAACAGTTCAACTGCTCCTTCTGGAAAATGAGATTGGGGAGTCCGGATGACGTGGGACTGGGTTTGTCATCCCACACCGTCTGTACAGTGGAGACTGCATGCAGGGCGGAAGGATTCCAAGACCAGACCTTACCGAAATAGGAAAACAAGATTCGGTCGTTGTTGACTTCGGCTCTCCAGCATGCCTGTTCTCCGAACCCTGAGATAGTCATCGACACAACGAGGACCCCACTCTCAGCTAATTCAAGCATTCACGTCGGATAGGTAGAAAATATGTCCCATTCTCACCAGGTACCACGGTAACACATTCACAGTAAAGCGCCTACCCCATCTCACGAGCGTTGTCACCCTGATGGCTCCCATTAGATGCAACCCGTAACTGTGAAATATCCCTATATATTCTCGCCCCCTCACGGGAACATGTCTCTCAAATCTGTGCCCCCGTAGCATTCAAAGCCTTCCCACCTCACATTTCGCATCCCATCCAAACCTCGTGGCTCACAACCGATACCCTGAAACCTACAGCAATGGCACGACAGTGGATTCTCGACAGCCAGGAAGGCTTTGAAGCCTCGTTGAAGTTTAAAGAGGGTGTCCCAATCCCCGGTCAGGCCGACCTACCCGCCAACGGAGCCCTCGTCAAGCTATTTGCGGCCAGTCTGAACTACCGCGAGTTGATGATCGCCGACCCTACGGTAAGGAGCAAGCCCTTCTCGGACGACATGAACAAGACCAGCGCTAACAACCTACCTTCCAGAGTCCCATCGGACCAATCAACACCCCCCTCATACCGGGCTGCGATGGCGCCGGCGTGGTCCTCGCCGTGGGATCCTCGGTGCGCGACTTCCGCGTCGGAGACAAAGTCATCACCTACCCCGCCCCGGCCGTCCCAGAGGCCCAAGACGGCGACGACAGCGCCGCACCCGGCCTCCCCGACGCGTCGCTCATGCTAGGTCAAGGCATCGACGGGACGCTGCGCTCGGTCGGCGTGTTCACGGAGAAGGCCCTGGTCCACGCGCCGGCATCGCTCGGCTGGACGCTGGCCGCCTCGCTTCCGTGCAACTGGGCCACGGCTTGGAACGTCCTCTTCGGGCTCGGAGGGAAGAAGGCCGGCCCGGGGACGTGGGTCCTCGTCGGTGGGAGCGGCGGGTTGAGCGTCGCGGCGCTGCAGCTTGCCGTCGCGGCTGGGGCTACCGTGGTGGCGACTACGAGCAGCGAGGAGAAGGAGGCACGCCTGCGGACGCTGGGAGCGGCGCATACGGTTAACTACCTCCGGGAACCTAAAGAGTGGGCCGCGAAAGCGAGGGATCTAACTCCAAGCGGGAGGGGATTTGACATTGTTGTTGATGTTGGCGGTGACGAAACCCTTCTCCATAGCTTGTCGGCTGTACGACTTGACGGTGTCGTTGCACTTGTTGGGCTGCTCGGGAACAAGGACGCGCCATCTGTCCCGTTGGTCGATGTCTTCCAGCATGGATGCATCGTACGCAGTCTGATCCTGGGCAGCCGCGAGCAGCTCCGGCAGGTTGTTCAGTTCGTTGATGAGAGGAAGATCACGCCGGCTATTGATGATAAGGTGTTTGAGCTAGCTGAGACTAAGGACGCTTATCGGTTCTTGAGCGAGAAGAGGCATTTTGCTAAGGTGGTTATTCGAATCGACCATTAGCTGGATTAAGGGGTTCAGGCGAGCTTAAGGTAGTCATTGTCACAAACCAACCACAAAGTTGCTGGCGTTGCTTCATTCATCAGTCTCTGTGGAGGGAGGCAATCTGGCAATGTGGTGATGTTGTCTGTCTAAACTACCAACGGTGGTCACACGGCATCACTCTCAACAAGGTTGTCTGCGATATCTCCGCACTAGAGTTTGCTTGTAGCCTCTCCGACGTGGCCGTTTCGCGGGTAAAGACACTCGGCGGGCTAATGTTTGAGAAGCCCTTCGACCGCAGCAGGGTATATCGCGGGACACTATCCCAAGCTGTGAGGGTAAAGTTGTTCGATCACGATAACAGGCATTGAACTATTGGTGTTGATGCTGTGGCGAGGGAGGATCCCTCAGAGGAGTCTAATTAGTACCTAGGTAGGTATATAGTTCGCGAGGATCCTTAATCACTGTCCTACTCCTCCCGATCTCGCTTTCCGTGTATTTTCATCTTTGATTGTTTGCATATTATTCTCAGCTCGAGTACGCCCGCGAGATTGGTTTTCCCTCGGTCCTTCGGTTGGTGCTGCTGCATGGCGTAGCTTGCTTACGGAAGACGATAGCCGCCACAGTAACATAACCCAGATTAGGCAGCTGTGTCGTGCAAACGCCTGGACGTCTTGGCGTGCGCGCGCGTGTGGCACACCGCCGCTAATTTTTGTAGGCGTGTACCTAGGTGGTAAGAATCCGTAGACGGCGCCATCAAACGCCTACAACAGGCTATAATTAAAGTAATTCGTATTACTGTAGCGATTAATCTTAATCTTTTTATTGTTGTATCTGTTTTTTTGGATGGAAATTAGCGGGTCTGTACGTATGTCTCTAAAATCTATCTTTAAACGGCCCGGCCAGCTCTCTAGAGCTATCCTATAACTTCGTTATCTACTTTGTTATACTATTCGGTTCGAGATACCTACTATAAGGTGTTTAAAATATACCTGGGCTAATACGGTTAGTAATGCTGTGGATCTAGTATCTTCTGGTATTGAGGTAGGTAGTGAGTTAACTGCTGTCCTAGTATATAAGATGATTTGAATTATATTAAAGAAGACTGCTAATACCCCCCTATTAACTATATCCGAATCTATTAACTTGACCGAATCGTAACCTACGAATGTACAGCCGAAACGGATATAGGTATTAACGTAGAAAGCGTTACCTATAAAGCTAGCTATAAAGAGGCCCTCTGCTATAAGGAAGACTGTACCTATAAAGAAGGCTATAAAGAGAGCCTCCTCTATAAAGAAGACTGTATCTATAAAGAAAGCCCTCTGGAGTGTTATTTAAAAGTTAACCGAGATACTGTCTGAAATACCAGAGTTGGAATATAATATAGAAGAGCTGTGTTTGCCGGTATAGGTATAATAAAGTTAACCTTAGATTATTATTTAGGGTTTGACTATAATCCTAGAGTTATAGTTTAGAATTAGGAATATATTTAATGATCCTTTTAATGATAATGATAATAATAATAAAGTTGTTTTTACTAGTATATAGTTAAAACCGGTTAATCTACTTTAGCTGATAGCTAGAGTAATATCTAAACGGCTGTTAAACCGAACGAATGAACCTTTATCTCTCCTAATATCGATTTTCATTAAGGTTTAGTATAATATTAAATAGTTCTATAACTAATATCTTTTAACCTTTAAAACCCTTCTACTAGTACCTTTACAATATTTATATTAATAAGTAATTAGGGTTAAAATAATAGATATTAAGTTTATCGAACTATTTAATAGTTTTAATCTTAAATATACTGTTTAGTTTAATTATATAAATCTAATAGAAGATATCTAGCTTCTAGTATAGAAGGCTAGATTAGAAGGTTTAGTTATCTATATTATTTATAAAGTTTACCTTAATAAAGTAGCTAGTCTATATAAGTATAGGGATATTGCAATATTTAATATAGTACTTCGGTTACCTTTATCTATTAGCTGTATTAACTTTGACTTATTTATAAGCTAGATGATAGAGGTTGGAGGTACTGAGTTTGAGCTAACTTTGGAGTTCGAATTTGAGTTTAAGGCGTTATCTAACAACGATGATCTAGTTGTTACCTCTATACCTATACCGATCTGGGGCTTCTCAATGCTAGTTTAACCCGCCTCCCGAACCTCTAGGTCCTGATCCGGGGGGGCGGGTATGTAGCTATATAGAGCCGTATCTCTACCTAGAGCTGTATCTATAGTACCAACGTCCAATCAAAATACCCTAAAGACACCTTCGGTATATAAGTCTACTAGTAATATAATACTAGCCGAGTTATTTATATACTACTAAAGCGATGTTACCTAGAGCTATATCAATAGGGTTCTATATCTATCTATTATATTCGAGGCGCTTTATTACCGATAGAAATGTAATCTCAGTTTAAAGTATAAGAACTTTTAAAATAGTGTACTAGCTACTTGGTATTAGTACGATTAAGGTGATAAAAACCATCTCCTATTTATAAATTAAAACCTCCTTATATAGGTAATAGCGATCTAGGGTGGGAAGACTATAAAGGATAACCTACCTACTTACTTCTATAAGAAATAGTATAATAAGGTAGATAAATAATAATAATAATAAACTACTAAATAAAGTAGTAGCTAGCTATAGCCTATCTTTAGAAGGATTCTATATAGTATATATTATTAGTTAATACTAACGTTCTATATTAATATTAACAATAATAGTAACAATTCTACCCCCTCTGCTAGGCCGGTCTAAGGCACCTATAATCTATCTTACCTACCTCTATCAACAGCTACTATTACCGAACTATCGCTACTGTAGTAGCTATTGAATATCTTAATTTCCTCCTACCTGGACCGCTAGAGCGGAATACTTAATATCCCTATTCGATCTTTATTACTATTAGCCCTCTCTATAAGTAAAACAACGGCCAAACTAATCAATAAATTCACTTACTAATTTATACGTTAACATTTAATAGGTGCCTATAATGAATAAGTGTATATAGCATTAAGCGCTATTAAACGTTGTTTAATTAACGAGGGCTATAGTTTACTAGTGTTGAAGGTGCTGCTAAAGGTGTTTTTTAATGACTGCGGTCTACCGGGCTTCTTGGTAGTACTATTGAGAGGGTTAGTTAAGACCTTCTTAAAGGAAGAAGTTGAATTAGCTTCTTTTAACGAGGGTGAGTATCAATAGGATCAACCAGTTCAGCCCTCTTTAACTTTATTATCTCTAAGTCATCTATTTAACCTAGATATACTACTTAATATATATTACTCCCTTTATTTAATCCTATATAGCTAACTATACGGCTATCTAGATACCCCCCTATCTAATCCAACTAATATACTTCTAAGTAACTTCTTCCTTTCTAATAATAATGATAGTATTAATAAAGATAGTATTAACAACGAATATCTCAAAGATAAGATCTTAACAGTATCTAAAGCTTCTAAATTATAGATTAATAGTTTAGAAGGAGGGTAATAAGTTTAATAAGAGGGTCTACGATTTAATATACAATTAGAGATATAGATTTCTCAATTTACTATACTTAAACTACTATATATATTTCGTTCAGCTCCCGCAGCTGTTTAGTATATAGTTTAATATAATTAATAAGACTATCTCCAATCTAACTACTCTCTCTGAACGCTAGTAAAGCTATTCGGTAATATCTGTATAGTATACCTGTCACGGCGTGCACAAATGAACTTAGGACGAGCCTGAAGGTTGTACCCAATAACGAAAATACAACTAAAAGTAAAGAACTAAACTAAGTGCGGTTCCAGGGGAGAAACAGCGGCCTTTTATAGACGAGGGGACGGTCGGTTCCGGTCGGTCGCTGTTGCTGTTGCTTTCACAGGTTCCTGGATAGTTCCCAGATACAGAGCCCCTGTATCTAATCAACAAGGGACCTGTCTTGGTATTCAGTGAATGAAAGTGGATGCTTCAGAACCAAGCGTGCTGATTGGCGGATGTGTCGAGAGTGGATGCGCCAAAGGTGGATCCCCCGGTGCCGAGGGTGGGGCAGTGTATAAGTGGCTCATTACGTAACCAACCTTGTTGTGACTGCGCCGGGCCGTCACACTACCCCCCCCCAAAGAAAAGAGAGTCGTGTCCTCATGACTTGTACCTTCTTCGTGATCGTGTCGGTCCTTCCTTTGCCTGTGACTCCGGAAAGTCGTCTTCCGGGTGGTCTTCTTCATCTAGTTCCTCGAGGTGTGCCTTTTCCCATTGTGTTAGTCGTTTGGGAGGGCCTGCTGCCTCTGGGAACTCCTCGTGGAACTTCCGAACCACCGCTGGGGCGTTCTTAAAGTTTCTTGCTGGGTACCAGACCGGGTCGTCGTCAAAGGCGATCCATTTGGCCAGGTACTCCAGTTTCCCCCTTGTCAGTCGAGAGCCCATCAGTTTCTCTACTTGGTATTCCAGCTCCCCATCGATTTCCTCTGGTGGTAACGGGGTAGGGACTTGCCCCGGGAGCGGGTCGCTCGGAGCCTTCCTCAGTTTGTCGGGCGAGAAGACCGGGTGCATCTTCCAGGTGTCGGGCAGGTCTAGGAGATAGGAAGCTCCCTTCTTAGCTAAGATCTTAAACGGCCCTGAGACCGGAAAGTCCAGCTTGTCGCTCGGTCGATTCGTTTGCCAGTTTCCCTTCGTAACCATGACGTAGTCACCTGTCTTGAAGTCTTCCGGGCGTCTGTGCTTGTCAGCCTGTTTTTTCTGGGTGGCTTGGGCCTTTTCGAGGTGCTCTTTCGCTAGGAGGACGGCCTCCTGGATCCTGGAGGTCATCTTCACTGCGTCCTCTCTGCTGAGTGTTTCCGCTTCCGAAAGGGACTGTTGGGAACGGGCTTCCCAGTCGAATGACATTCGTGGTTGGTATCCGGTTTCCACTTCGAAGGGAGAAAGCCCTATAGACTCGTGCGGGAGGATGGCCTGGGCGAAGTCCATTGCAGGCAGGAGCTCGGCCCAGTTGTCCTGGTAGTGGTTGACAAAGGGCCTCAATCGCTGGTCGAGGTACTGGTTCATGATTTCGGTCTGTCCATCAGTCTGTGGGTGCTCGGAAGAGGAGAGCTTGATCTTGACTCCTAGCATTCGGCAGAACTCGTCCCAGAAGTGGGAGATGAATTGCGGGCCTCGGTCCGAGACCACCGAATCTGGAACCCCGTGGTTTCTCCAAACGTACTTGTAGTACATGCCTGCCATCTCTTTAGCGGTGGTTGTCTTGTAGCAGGGTAGGGAATAGGCTCTTTTGGTCAGTCGGTCTACTACCACAAAGACTTGGTCGTAGCCCTGCTTGTCTTCGGGCATGCTGTGAAAGTCCATCGTAACGTGCTGCCAGGGT